CTCAGTATGCCATACGGACCTGGCATTTACAGTTCTACTATAAGCTGATGGTCGCTTTAGCGACCATCAGCTTATAGTAGAACTGTAAATGCCAGGTCCGTATGGCATACTGAGCTGGCCAGCTGGAAGCACTTTTGTAGGTCCGTATGCCATACGTCCTTGGCAGCGAAAGGGTTAAAGGAGCTAGAGCAAAAGGTAAAGAAAAATCACCTAATTGGATCAAATGTTGTGGTGAAAACTGTCTTAACCCTTTCGCTGCCAAGGACGTATGGCATACGGACCTACAAAAGTGCTTCCAGCTGGCCAGCTCAGTATGCCATACGGACCTGGCATTTACAGTTCTACTATAAGCTGATGGTCGCTTTAGCGACCATCAGCTTATAGTAGAACTGTAAATGCCAGGTCCGTATGGCATACTGAGCTGGCCAGCTGGAAGCACTTTTGTAGGTCCGTATGCCATACGTCCTTGGCAGCGAAAGGGTTAAAGGAGAACTATGAGGTGAGTGCTTTTCACTCACCTCATAGTTCTCCTTTAACCCTTTCGCTGCCAAGGACGTATGGCATACGGACCTACAAAAGTGCTTCCAGCTGGCCAGCTCAGTATGCCATACGGACCTGGCATTTACAGTTCTACTATAAGCTGATGGTCGCTTTAGCGACCATCAGCTTATAGTAGAACTGTAAATGCCAGGTCCGTATGGCATACTGAGCTGGCCAGCTGGAAGCACTTTTGTAGGTCCGTATGCCATACGTCCTTGGCAGCGAAAGGGTTAAGACAGTTTTCACCACAACATTTGATCCAATTAGGTGATTTTTCTTTACCTTTTGCTCTAGAAACAGTTTTACATTTTTGATATCCAAACTTTCTGTTCACCAGGACCGATAGGGTGAATCTTTCAAGTAGGGAAAAAAAACAAGACAGAAAGTCTAACCCTTCCTTGCTGTATTTAAAGCTTAAAGCGGACCTTTACGCTAAAAAATCAAATTCTACCAATGCATCCCTCTATGTATGATGAATAGGTGTCAAATTCTATGATTTGGAAATACTTACACTTGCAGAGCATTCACTTCCTGCTTTGAAAGGGCAAAATGACTTCAGTTTGGCAAAGCAATGCACACTGGGATTGCCTTATCAGCAGAGAATGGATGTGAAATCTCATCTGTAATCTCACGAGAGCTCAGAGAAAGGCATTTTCCTCCCCTGACATGATGTGCATGGTCATATGTCCTAGTCACATGTCGAGTCACATGTGCCAGAAATCCAGGAAGTAATAGGAGAGCTAGCAATCTGTCATTAGTTAACATGGCCACTGTCAGAAGACTGGGAAAGAAAAGAGAAGTAAGGTATGCAAAGAATATAAAGGCTGCAATTATCTAGAAGTATGTGTTTGTAGATCGTCATTACTAAACATTTCTAAAGGTGTGTTTGCTGTTATTTTAAAGATATGTCTAAAGGTCCGCTTTAAAACATAAACTTTTGCCTTCACATACACTTTAATCCCCTTTTCATATATCTAATCAGAGAGTACACATCCTTCTGCAAAACAGGTTTTTATTCAGACTTTGTTCCAATGTACCGAGGCCTTCAACTAACATTCACACCAAAGGACAAGGGCATGTTGAGAAATGGATGCCTATTTCATATTACAGGCTGCATATAATTTGACCTTAGGCTATGAGCACAGTGCTATAAAGAACAGGAGAGACTATTACCTAAACAGGGGATGAGGATTCTGGGAAATGTAGACTACATCTGAATTTTGGAGCAGTTTGCTTTCATAGTGCCATTAGGCGAAAATTGAATTTTACACAGCGGTTGTAGAGAATCATGTGTAACTGCAGATGGGGAAGGGTCACTGAGGCTCACCGAGAATGGGGGTGTAAAGTGGTTGTGGTCTCTCTGCTCCCATCCAATTCCAGTGAATAAATACTCTGATATGGCAGGAAGGGATGGATCTGTGGCAGCCACTGCCATCTCCTCAGACCTTTATCAATATTGATTTTGAGTAAATAAGAGAGGAGATGGGGCAATTGTTGTTGCGGATCTATCACTGCAAGGAATGAAGGATAACCACTGTCAGATTAAGTAATGTAACTGATGGTGAGTAAATTGAAGATACCAAGCCTGGCAAGGTGACCCGCCTGCTATTTTTGTTCACATAGTTCATACTAAAATGAAATTATTTGTTAAAAAATAAGACCAATGTATCTGATCCGCACAAATGTGTCATCTATCTGTGAATAGACAAATAATACAGTCTGTACAAGCTATGGATATGTTCAGAATTCTAAAATGACAACCAGGCACAACTATCGCTCTGCTGTAGCTGCTCCCAGTGAAGCATGTCATTTGTATCTCTGAGATAATACTATGGCACCTGTTTTCTACCATAAAAGAAATAATATTCTCACTTACGGTGTCAAGCACAAGAATGTCACATCTATTTCACATAAACAAATCTGTCATCATATTTGAAGATATATCTTTTTTAAAGTGATTGATTTGACAGACGTAGTATGGGCAGTATTTGTTATTGTTAAGAATACATCTGGCCTTATTTCATTCATAGCTCTGCTACTGTCACGCATATATGAACTCAAGATTTCCGCACCGCTTGCTCTACCGGCTATTGCGTGTTTTATGCATGAATGAAACACACTAAGTACAGATTGAATCTTCCATGGCTTAGAAAACATGCCTGCTCACATTAGGTGTATTCACTAAGTAATGACTTGTAGTCATTATTGATTCCCGCTCACTGCAAACAACTGTTTTCTGAATTCTTCTCAAATTATTTCCATATACAGGTTTGCCGTATTTGTGAAACACAGAACTGTGAATGTGCGGAATGCTCTGACAACAAACAAAGTTTAATTGGTAACTTTAGCTCATGCTCACTAGACAGAGGTAACAATGCTAATTTGCTGCTTAATGAGAAGGCTAAAGGCAGGAAGGTGACATAAGGAGCAGAATAGCTGAACCAAAAGTTGAACTGGTTAATTGGGAACTATGTTTGTCACCGGTCTAGCTGTGCACTGTGAAAAATGTGTTTAAATCAATGAACTGGCTGCACCGAATTACAACTTATTTGGCATGCAAAGCAGTAGACATAGTTTATAAGTGTTTTTAGTGGTTTTCCTGAAGTTGTTTTTTAAATAAAAGCAGTAGGATTCTTACCAAGTGTAACCTTTACATACACAAGTTACATATAGTAAAGATAACTGATGGCTTGCCCTGCAACTCATTCTGACAACAGCTGTCCAGGAAGGATGCTGATTGTCTGATATAGCTGTGCCCTCTAGAGGCTACAAGCCTGAATTTAAAATATGGCGCCAGAAAGTACATATTGAAAAAAACATCAAACATGTTTAAATCAAATCTAACGTACAAAGAAAAATAGCATGGTTAAATGATCTTTAAAATTTACATTAAACTGCTTTTGCCAATAAATAGGAGTGGGAAATAATCAGTTGTGAACAATATTAAACTCTATGGCTGGAAGCTGAACCCAATTGGGAGATTGAGCATGTTCATGTATCTAATCAGTAAAAAAATTTCTACTACCGTTTAAACACAAGAATACAAACTTGTTAAATGATCTATTCAGTCAAGGTTACAATGCATGTTCATTGAAGTGGACCTCCATCCCCCCCAACACACTCTCCTACAAAAGTGTGTTCTGCCAATAAAATAAACTACCTCCCTTGTCTCACACTTGCCCTTGCCCTCAGTACCACAGAAACTTCTGCTACAATCTTGCTTTCTTACATCATCGGTGACTGGCTCCTTCGTTCTGCTAGTTGAGCCAGCCCACCAATGATGTCCAAAGGTCATGTGTGATGTTGGGAATAAATAAATCTGCGACTGTGAATTACAGCGATCTTGTGGATTTTGATAATAAATTATGTAAAAACAAAAAAGAAATTCCATGAAGGAATAAACAAGATCTCGTATTTAAGCTCTGAGAGCTGTGTTAGAAGTCACTGGTGACGTAGCCTTCCCAGGAGGCAGCTGGGAGGCACAGGCAACATCCCCAGGGCCTATGGAGAGGCGGAAGTGTCATTAAATAAGTGTCTTTTTCTGCTAAATGCTGCATTTTAATTGAACATTGTGATTTTTCTTACATATCTCTAAAGAGTTTAGTACAATAGGCTTATGTTTATTTTTGAGTAGTAATTCCACTATAACGACATAAAATTATACACCGAAAATTAGACACAGACTTGCATGTTCTCTAACTGCCTCCTTATCCTTGTAGAAATACAGAATATCTCTATATGTTGTTTGGTCTTGTTGATCCTGCTTTTCACACATTATTACATTTTGCATGTTCTACTTAATGGTTCAATACATTAAAAAAAATACACACTTTTAAATATTTACATTTTAAACTGTAAACCAAAAACAGATGCAAACTAATAAAACAGAACGGTATCAAACTAATGACATTTATATTTGCAAAAGCAGCACTCTGTAACCAGCCACGATTAAACGGCTAACTTTGGTCACATGATGTCATTTCTGTAAAAATACAGATTGCAATGCAATTTAGACCAAGCAAGAGCACATTATTCATTTTAGGGGAATCTATTAATCTGAATGCAACCATAAACTGAAACTTATTTGGCAACATGTTATTAAAACAGCAACCTTGCAAACCTCTCAGCGGTGATCATTTAAATATATTCATTACCTGTCCTCAGCTTCTCAATATAAAATACATGCACACCAATGATGAGACAGAGATCTATCATTCTACTCACAATTTAGATATAAAACATGATACTCAGAATTGTTATAATCTAGCAGTAGTTCCATTTGCAGAAACACATCTTGATAACATTTCGTCACGTTTCATAAAAATATATCAAATATGTCACATATAGTAATTGATAGCCAGTGGCAGCACTGGAGTTACAGGAGCATTAGACACAAGATCACACATGATCACTAGACAGGTAAAGGTATTAAGCATGCAGAAATAAGGCAAATCAGTTACCTCTCCCTGTGTCCACGACAGCATGAAAGAACAGATAAGGCAAGTTAGGATAAACGGCTGATAAAATATAAGAGAAGCAGAACACAAAGCAGCACAGGCACACTGGGAACGCTCCACACTAACACTCTGCCTTCAGGTTCAGGACATCACTGAAGAATTAATTGCTTTCTTAGCCTGGTAAAGCAACAAAGCAGCTGAAGCAAGACTGTATACAGATCTAAGGAAGCAGCACAGAATAATGGTGAAAAAAGCCTCCTTCCTAAAGGACACAGTGCTGCTGCAGAGGTTGTTAGGGAGAGAAGTAAGAGCAGAGTCCAATGTAAGCAGCTGGATTAGGAGATGCAGCATATGCATGTAAGCAGTGTAACCTCATCAGGATCCTCATGGAACAGATGAATGAGGGGGAAGGTAAGGCTGTGTAATAAATCACTCTGGGTTCAGCAGCATCAAGGCGGCCACACTTCCTTAGTCTAACATGAAACTTATTTTCATGTGTCTCTAGACAAATGATGATCTGCAGCTCTGCAGACCTTTATTGTTTCGGGATGGATTAACGATTGTCAGCCGCTTTCAATGCACTGAATGCAGGATGTTGATACACATGACCTCTGTCTGTGACTGAATGCATTTATTCACTCCTCATATTACTCTGTGCTATCGGAATACATAAAAGGCATAGGTATACTCAGATCAATATTTAAAACTGTATACAGTGAAGTATAATGCTATACAACAGTTTTAATGTTTATAAACACTTAAACCTGAACTCTGGGATAAGCAAATTGTCTAAATACAAAAGGCATAGGTATTCTTCCTTGACTCTTTGTGTGTTGTGTATTTCTGACAGATCTGTGAAGTAATCCAGTGTGAGACTTGGAGCTTCCTTATATAAAGACCAGTCATAGCTGTTCTCTCTCCTTGTGCAGTGTGACTGGTCTTGTATGCGCCCCCTCCTGTGGTTTTCTGCAAGCAGCCTTTGGTGGGCGGCGCCTGTTGGGTCCCTAACTTAGCTTTCTGTACAGGCTATGTACAGCACAGTGATGGTATCGCTGCTACTTCTGCAAGGTAATAACTGGTTTGGAAAGGTATTTGGGGCACATAAAGTGAATTTATATCTTTTGTGGCTATTTAGGAATATATTTCAATGACAGTTTTTGTGTCTGAGTTCAGCTTTAAAATATATCATTATATTGCATCATTTTAACACTAGAACATTGTTAATACAGTTAGCACAGCCTGATACCAATCATACTGAAATTAGTCCTCCCCTCCGATTATGTATGCACCACCCACTCTAGTTAGAACCCTATTCAATTTCACGCAATCAATTTCCTTTAAATGGTTGCAGACTACCAAGGTGGCCATGGCTTTTTATGGCACAAAGTCTAATATTCTGGTATGTTTTTCCATCAGTATCAGCATCATTTATATCCCTCACCGTCTGGTTTTCAGTTTCTGTTAGTCCAGTGGTTCTCAACCTTTCTAGTGCCGGGACCCCTTGGTAACATTTGCCAAGTTGTGGTGACCCCCAACGGTAAAATTTAGGGATGAGGCGGCTGCTGCAGCAACATCTGGCGGTGTGGCGGGAGAACTAACACTGCTGCGCTAGGAGAGGGCTGAGGAGGACTCTCACCTAGCACATCAGAAATCAAACAGCGACCCACAGGTTGAAAACCACTGGTGTACGCCGTCAGAATAAAAAAACAATTAAAAACCACCATAGGAATGCATAGCTAGATTCCTATTGGCTATTTCACTTTGCTATAGCCAATAGCAAACTAGCTATTGCACCCGTCCTCTGCTGCTGTCAATCACTAGAAGAGGACCTGATGGAGCACGTCAGTTTCCCCTCTGCTGTTTGGCAGCAGCAGAGGGCGGGTGCAATGGCTAGTTTGCTATTGCAAAGTGAAATAGCCAATAGGAATCTAGCTATGCATTCCTTTGGTGTGTGGTTTTTTTTCTGAGTTACAGCGGTTGACGGCCCCGATGTCAGAAAAAAAAAAGATTGCAGGGAAAGGTTTATTCTGCTCGATTTTTCTCTCCCGGGCGGCCGGGAGCCACTATCTAATAGCGGGAGACTCCCAGGCGACCCCTGGCAAATCGTCATTCGACCCGGTTCGCGACCCACAGGTTGAGAACCGCTGTGTTAGTCTGTATGTATCACGTTTTCAGTCTGTTTACCAGTTTTTGTGCATTATAATAATAATTTACCTTGGAGTTCCATGATCTTTATATATGCACTTGCCATGTGATCGGGCATATTTTCAATAACATCAAGATCTCAAGTGAGTTCTAATATCCTTAGAAGTATATTACTCCATATATCATCAATATATAGCTCTGAGACTTACATAAGACCTGGGTACCATGTGTGGTTTCTGGCTACACATCTGAAAACTCATAGGCTGCTGCCAATTGTTGTATGACTACTCTTGGCACAATGCTGTTAAAGACATCATGGTAAGTTGATTTCTAGAAGCTGGTGTCAGACTGACTGAAATGTTTGCAGCTCTTTGCTAAATTGTAAGAGTATGGAAAGCATGGGCACTTGGCACAGATAATATAGCAGGCTGGTCAGCTCTCTCCTTTAAGCCACTGAGATTTCAAGCTTCACAGCATAACAAATGAACCTTTAAATGGTAACTGAATCCATTCTAATGGATGTCTAGCTATGCTAGCAAAGATTACATGCTATCTGCATCATTATATACTGTTGTATAATCTTAAAGAGGTACTTCAACCTTGGGTACAATAACAAAAAAAAAAAAATGATTTACTGGGTTATCCTAAAAACACATACTCACTCCGTTGTCCTACTGTAATCCTCTGGTGTACATGCTGGGTCCCGCGATGCCATCTTCTTAGACTGTCATCAGGAACAGGTTGTCTCTTGCACGTTCTTCCAGACCGGCCCAATGGTGGTGCGTGCGGTGCATGCACAGTGTGATTCAGATTGCCCTGAAGCCTCCTGGGATGTGTGACGCGAGTATACGAGGATGCTTCGGGTTGCTGGGGATGTCATTCTCGCTTAAGTAAGAAAGGTAAAAGCATGGACTGCGTCCCACAAAAAAAATTTTTTTTTAAATCTGCAATTTCAAGAAAGGGGGAAGAGCAATATTCCTCAAAGTAGAAAAGGTGGGTGAGAGTCCGCTTTAAGTTCTTCCGAAGCATTGCTTTATGATAACAATGCAGGTACCTTGCACTGAGAGAGATTAGAAAGGCTACAGTTTTCCTTTAAGGCAGCCAATGCAAAGAAATATCAAAATAAATTCATAGAAATATACAAGGGTCAGAGGTATCTCACACCAGATTATGTCCAAATCAGATGACTGTCATCTCATGTTTATGGACACCACAAATCTGGCCACATACCTTGTGATCTGACTGAACAATCTCCTTTAGACTTACTGACAACTATACAGTACAAGGCCCTACTTGAATAGATATAAATAGGATACGCCTTCATATTACACACATGCCACAGCAACCTATTGATGCCCCACTTTCCTACTCCCTATGCAACACGGAGGACTAAAACAATCTAATTTGTCTGCTATGGCAACCACGGCAATTCTTTCCAAAGACACAAGGACGGAAGATCAATTATGTAAACCAGTAAGAATAAAAAAGCAAATACTAGGTGCTCAGGAATGTATAGCTGCTAAGATCGGAGGTTGTGGAGTGATAAAATAAAGATCATCTATTGGGCTTCATCAGTGAAATCAGGTCCTGTAGGTGTGTTAGAATCAGTCCATTCAAAAGCAAGTTTGGTCCTGAATAAATGAAATTAACCAGCAACATTTATCCTGCAGGGTGTTTCATGGCTGAACCCTTAATCCATCCCAATGAGGATTCCAGCTCACCTAGTTGGATTTGTTATTTTTTTGCTGAAGTATGAAGCAAGGGTAGTTTTACAAAGAGTAGCTGACATTGTGCCTAAATATTGCCTCTCCAGACTTGACATAGAGTGGAGGGTTCTGAACTTATCGGCAAAATCCTTTGGGCCCTTTGGGTAGTGTCCCATGCGGTGCACAGGACCTGCATAGCAGAAGCTAATGTAAGTGGACAGGACATATCTGCAGTTTTTGTTTAGCCGAACCCATACGGGCAACTGGTGTAAGATAGGATTTAATACACCCATCCACAGCTTCACAGAACCTCTATTTTCCTTTAAATAAGTACTGGAACAGGCGGGATTTACTGTGAGCACCTGTCTGCACAAATACTAAAGAATAATGGAGAAAAAAATCATCTTGTTTCCACATGCTTTTGTATACACTGAGTGGCCAGATTATTATGACCACTGGGTCTGGGTCTGAACGTGCAAATTGTGGCAGTCAGCGACTAGTCAATGTTAGGGCAGAACTGAGAGTGGCAAGACTGGTACAAGACAACAGAAGGGCAACAGTGCAGTGTCAGATTCCTCGCATCACCTTTCAACATCTCGCGGAGTCACGAGGCGGCTCAACAAAGTCATCTCGTGGAGTCATCTCGTGGCCCAACGAAGTACTGATGGGGTGGTCATAATAATCTCGCCACTCAGTGTATATGCTGACATATATACAAATAGTCGCAATCTAAAGGTTTTACTTAATACACTCTTCAGAATAAAACCCAGAAGTGTTAGGTGGTTAAGAAGCAGAGAGACAGAGAGGCCAAAGACATATCAGATCTGTCTGCCACAAGCTGTCTAGAAGGTGTTGCAAGCTACTTTATTAACACAAAGCCCTTCATTCTCTAAACTGCCAGCAATATTCCTATGTATAAAACAAAGGAGACACCTGACGCCTAACCAATGGAATTAATATTCAATGCAGACACTTTAAGAAGAGATTAGGGATTATAAACAAAATGTTAGGAGTCTCTAGTAATGCTGTTAATTGGAGAGAATTGGAAGTGAAATGCCAGTGTATAGATTGTGAGGCAATATTACATTCCTCCTTTGCTTTGTTGGTACGTAATTCCAATAATGCTCAATGAAGCAAACATGATTTTACGACAGCATC